GGTGCGTTCTACATGGTCTCCCTGAAAACAAGACCAAGTTGCGACAACGAGGTCAAGCCACTTCTATCAAAAATATACTTAATTAAGAGAAAAGATGGTTGGCTGCAACCCTAGTCGCTTTTTTTATAGGTATAACTTCGCGATCCTATGATTTGATTGGTTATTCCAAATTTACTCTACATGCTTGAAAATGAGTAAGGTTACTTTACGAACCGGATATGCGTTCGATGGGAGCTGTTTCTTTATACAAATAAATTAGTTTACGATCCTCAAATGTTGAATCATGTTTGGGCTTGTGCTATTGTCTATTTTGTGTATGTAATGCTTATTTCATGGGAATTTTGATAGTCCCAAATAGACCCGAGGCTAACTCAGCCTTCTTCTCTTGTTCAGTGGTTCTTCCTGCACAACCATCTCACCCACTTTCCTTAAGTCTATCCAAGAGCCACAAACATTTCGTACTTAGTTTTCTACACTCGTTCCTCCTATTCAGGTCATAAGCTGTTTTATTAATTTCTATAGACTCCCTAATCTTACGCTTTTACGTGAAGTCCCCTTAGTCCGTAAAGCATTGTGTTTTGGAACAGTCTATTAAGTGCTCAGATTTGTGGACCCACAGACCTTTAAAAGTGAATTTGTGTTCGCATAGCCTCTTGTGAATCGATCAGCAGGTCTCTCCCACATATAGCTTACCAAATGAGTACAAAACCTTATAACAGCCTGATCTAGAAAGAGGGCCAGGATATTCTCTAAACGAAGAAATTACTGAAGAAAGTGATAATTTACCCTTATACATTGTAATTATGTTCCACTTCTTCAGTAGTTCACCCAAATTTTTCGCAAGCTGACAATAAGGCAAAATCAGGAACCGAGCAGAATTGTCCAGTTGTCTATCCCGCGCCTGATAACAAACTACCTTAATCATAGAATTTTCCCAAAATGACATGAGTAGAGCTGACGTTTCCATTGAATTTCACATAGCCTTGCTTTCCTAAAAGTTGTTATCATCCAGGGTGGACTGCAGTTTCGACCTCACACAGGTCTTATCAACACCACCGGAGGGAGTCGAACTGTGACAGTGAAGAATGTTAGCTTGATACTTTAACCAATAGGCCAAACTGTCATGAGTGCCCTTGGGCCACAGTGCAGATGTAAACTTCAAGGAAGGCCAGGCCTTTTGCCATATCACATTCTATGGTGAAAG